CTATGACTTCATTTTGAAAAATAAGACTTCTCTATTGATTAAATTGGTAAAGAATTGATTATCATATTTTACCTTTCTTTGCAATTTGTAAAGGAAAGTTGGAAGTTAGATAGATTAGGAATGTCAAGTTGTTTTATGCTCCTCTGAATGTCCTGACATCACATTCCCCTTGAAGTTATTTATTCTGGAGTATTGAAATAATTGCATATAATGGACTTTCTATTGTACAATTAGATGTTGAAAATAGATTTATGTGTACATGTCAAAGGCTTGTAGTTTGTATATATGTCAAGTATAAATGAAATAAGTTTTCATAAAACTGATTTGAATTTAGAATTGTTGGGATAATTCATTAACTGTATTTTTTAAAAAATGAAATAATTTTAAGTCACATTGAACTTAGAACACAATTCACAATTTATGAAAGCTGAATTATGTTATACTATTTTAATAACAGCATTTAGATTCATACACCACTTCATAGTACTTTTCAGTCCTTTCTAAGTGGTTTGCAGAGACAGCATATTGTCCTCAACAACCTGGGTCCTCATTTTACCAACCTAGCTGGAGAATTCTAGGAGTTGAAGTCCATATCTCTTAAAGTAGCTAAGGTTGACAAACACTGGTTTAGGGTGAGGAACAATCCTTCCAGAAAGAACCTCTAAAGCAGGGGTATAAAACTCAAGGCCTACGGGCCGGATCTAACATACGGGGTGCTTAAATCTGGCCCACAGGGCTTCCTTGGAAACAGTGAAGGACCAGCCTGCGGTGCCTCTTCCAGCAAAAACAGAGCTCATGAGGACTGCGCACAGCCCTTCCAAGCTCCATTTTCACTGGCAGGGGGCTGCAGGAAGCTTTTGCAGCTGAAAACAGAGCCCCCACGCATAGCCCCCATGAGCTCTGTTTTCACTGGCAGAGTGCTAGAAAAACAAACTACTAGGAAAAGTGGCATTTGATCACACGAGTGATGTCGAGCTGGCCACGCCCACCCTGGCCCACCAAGGTAGAACACAATCCTAATGTGGCCTTCAATGAATTTGAGTTTGACATCCCTGCTCTAAAGGAAGAGGTAATGAAGAAAAAGAAAAAGCACCTGAGAAGTCAACTCATTTGGAGTCTTCCTTGTTTCAAAGGCTTCCTTGTTTCCATTATTGCCAACTCCTATGTGCAAAGAGTCATAGATGTTTGTTGTAGGCTTATTTTAAATGCTGTAGTGTTTTTATATCTCATAAGCAGCTTTGGCAAATTGTTACCCTGAAAATTAGAATCAGCATCATCAGCATTATCATAACTATCATCATCTCCTTTTCCTCTATGGCTTCCCCCTTGCCATCATATATAATTATCATAGTTAATATTAAAATACTTGCAAAAGATTTTTAAATCAATATCGCCTAACAGCATCTCTTGCAAGAGTGAATTATGTAATAATTATAAATTCAAACTTTATTCTTATACATATTAAATAAGCCATTTTGCATTTTCAATTAATACTAATTTATTACTTGCTGAATATTGCTTTAGACATGTGAAGAAGAGTCCTTGTAGCACGTACAATAATAAAATGCAATTTGCTGTGATAAGGCATTTTCTGCCATGGAGGCATCAAGATTCTTCTCATTCATTTTCTCAAAACTTCTTGACAATTCTTTAAGCAGAAAACTCTTTCAGTTTCAATTACATTGCTGGGCAAAAGGCTCCAGAAGAGAGATTCAGCCAAGAATTCTGCCCCTTTGAAGATTTGCTGTTACAGTACTTACACCACTACAAAATTTCATCAGATAGTGATAGAGTATAAATCCCTTGGTGTAATGTCATTCTATTGCAGTGTTTCTCAATCTTGCCAAGATATTTGGACATGCATCCACCTAAGACTAGTCCGGGAGAAGAGGACATTTGTCTCAGATTTCTCTCCCCAAAGCATTCAAGGATCCCAGGTTTGAAATCTTTATGAGATCTATGGTGATTATAACAAATTTTTAAGGAATCTAAATTTGCAAGTTAGTTTTTTAGCAGCATTTAAATTATTATTGAAGTATTTATTTGTTTAAAACACTGATATAGCTGCCCATGCTATATTGAACTTTGAGCAGCTCCTCACCAACAATTAAAACATCATCAAAAATAAATTAATCTAATCCATAAATCTACTAAAAACTGCAGACATTAAAAAGCTACTATTATTACCATTAATAGTACTACAATTAATGGTTTCCCTACAAAAATAAACAGAAAAAAATCATGTAATCATTTCTTTCAACAAATGACAGATTAATTTTTCTCACATAGTTTATTCTCGCTTATTATATTTATAGAACATTCTATATTCTATAAATATAGAATATTTCTATTCTAGATTTACAGAATATAGATGCCACTATACTCTGGATTAATTAATATAGTATATATGAGAAAGTTTTATTAATAAAGCTACAGTGGATGTAGAAGTGAACTGAATGCATCATTATTGATGAAAATTGAATTCTAGTTGAAGAGAAATAAAATCAAATGAAAAAATATTGTGATAAAATAGTTACCGAAGATCTACTATCTTTGTTTCGAAGCAAATATGCCATCTAGTGGAAGTACAAAATTATAAAACTGCATTTTATAATATGCTGCCTTTTATTCAGAGATCTAAAATCACTAAAAAAAAAATAGGCATAATAACAGCATACTTATCTTTTAACAGTTCACTAAACAATACAAAATTACAAAAGAGTTTATGGAGATTCTCAGTCATTCACGTCATGGTTGTCCCAAAGATGCTTTTTTCAAGAGGCAACTGGACTTTCCAGTTTTTCTTTGAAGACGTTTCACTTCTCATCTAAGAAGCTTCTTGGATGAGAAGTGAAATGTCTTTAAAGAAAAACTAGAAAGTCCAGTTGCCTCTTGAAAAAAGCACCTTTGGGACAAAATTACAAAGAGTTTCTGAAAGTTCCCTCTATTAAAAAGGAAAAGTTTGTGATTCAACAAGATTCAATTCAAAAACATGTTGGGTGTGCAGAACTAATTGAAAAATTCCTTAATTCTGCATTTTTCCGAATTGTTGGGTTCCAGCATTTTTTTTTTTTAAATAACATATACATTTGGTACTAGAAAAAGACCTTGAAATAAAAACATTATTTATATTTGCCAGAAATTGTATAAAGGAAGATTTAATTCTTATTCTTTTAATTTAAGTTTCATTAAAAAAAAGCAAGCTTGTGCTCAGTTTAGGTTTTTAAAGAAATGTGGTTTAATTTAAACATGTGTCTCTAACCTCTAAATCTTTAGGGTTAGATCAGGGGTGTCAAACTCACATTGTCAAGGTGGCATTACGTGACATATTAGGACCTTTTCCCGCTTTGCTAAACCAGGCATGGACATGGCCAGCGTGTGATACATCCGGTCCATGGGCCGGAAGTTTGATAGTCATGGGTTAGATGATGAGTAATACAATCTATTGTATAAAATTAAAATATACATTTCTGGGTATTTAGGACAGAAATTAATAAATACTAAGTCTATTCCATTGTTCCTTTGAGCTAGTAGAAGAACATATTTTCCTTATAGAGACAATCTAACAAATAAGTTTTAATTGAGACAATCTTGATCCATCTCATTACATAAGTATGTAAAACATTTAATACAGAAGACTGCAAGAAGACTACAGAAGACCCATGATCTGCAAAAAGGATGGCATTCTTTTTTGTGGGATACAGGAACCAAAAAGCAATTATATTTCCACAGACCCTTGATTAGAGATTCATTAATACAAAATTGGGATTAAAATTAAAAGGAGACACTATATGAAAATTCTGATTTGGCTATCCATGATGGAAGCTATGATACATCCCAATAATTTGGACTTATGTAAAATGACTAAATACAAAGAGGTTTTAGATGAACAGGGGAAATTAAAATCTAATCAGGATTTGCAAAGACAAGGAATACATATTGACTGGTGGCCATATCTTCAATTACAAACCAGACATAAAAAAGAAATAGAAGATTATGGAATATAAACAGAATTACAACAATTGGATAAAATTTTAATAGGACCCAACAAAAAAAACATTACAAAAATTTATAAATATTTATTAGAACTATAACTAGAAGAAGAAATTGTTAAGGGATGTATGATAGCTTGGACATAACCTAAATTTAACAGAATGGGAAAGTATATGGAACCAAAATTATAAATTAACAAAATCCTCAACATACAAAGAAAATATTTATAAAATATTCTACAGATGGCATCTACCTCCAGTGAGACTGGCAAAAATATGCCCCAACATGAATCTGGCATGCTGGAAATGTAGTAAGAAACAGGGTACTTTCTATCATCTAGAACATGATTGTTGTTCAGAAGCCTGAAAATATTGCTTAAAATAAAACAATTCTTAAGGTACGAATTAAGTTGGAACCTGAAATATTTCTGTTAGGAATACTCAAAAAGAAATATGAAAAAAAAATTATATTACACATCTTAACGGCCGCCAGAATATCTTACGCACAATGTTGGAAATACAAATGTCTACCCCCTGATGAACTGATTATTCAAAAAATTATGACCTTTGCTGAAATGGCCAAACTGACCCTAATGTTAATGACAAGGGTAAGTCTCAATATTATAAAATTTGGGATATGTGGTGTAATTGGATAAAATTAAGACAGATAGAAAATGAAGAAATTTAAGATAAGCAATTTATTGAAAATTCTATATAATCGCATAATACTGTATATATTTATAAATACGCACAAAAGATGGAAATGTATGAAATGGATGTCACAGAACAGTTAATGTTAAGATTAAGTTTTTATTTTGTTTTTAAAAGACGTAAAAGACCAATAAAGTTTATATTTTAAAAAAAATTAAAAAGAGTTTATTGTCTCCTTTAGCTTCCTCTTGCTGTTGGCATATTTAAAGAAACTCTGCTTGCTAGAATATCATGCTTCATTTTGACTGAGATGAAAGGAAACCCCTTCTATAGTTGGATTTTTTTCCTTTTCTGTAGGATATGATTGACTTGTACCATCTTTACATCACTAGTAATAATTTGGATCACATACCAGTTCCACTCCCTGAAAGTCTCCAATCGCTTCGTCTGCAAGTATGCCATAATTTTCATTGTATTTTGGCTCCATATGCATATACGTGCCTGCTTCGTTTGCCTGTTGGAAGCTATTCCTAAGCTTGGACAGTAACAGTAGTGTTGTGTAACATTATTTCTTTCACAAGTAATATACTGCTTTAAAAACATGGCACATATTATTTTAACACATAGTAATAGAATATAGTTTCATTAAGGTAAAGTAATAAATATATTGTGATGACCCAGGGTGGGATACAAAATAAACACAGTCACAAAAAACAGGTGAAGCCCCTTTGATTCCTTCACTTTGCTTCCAAGCTCCAAATACCCTTGACTGGAAACAAAAAACTCCCACACAACCAGTTACAAGAAGGAGGAAATGCCATTTAAATTATAAAGAATGAAAAACAACACAAGCCAGGCAAGATAAGGGCTGGAAGATGTCCACAGATATCAGAACACACACTGGGAAGGACGCCAAACTCAGAGAGGAACAATAAACTAGAGGTATTTCCATGCTTTGTTTCCAGCACTGGTCTGTATGCATGTCCGTCCTCTTATCCAGTTGTCACAGCTGCAGCCCATGAAGAGGATCAATGCCCTCCCCTCTCCTGTAGATCATGTCTCTCCCTTATCCTCTCCTCCCTGCATGCCCTAGGATGGAAAGGGGATGGGCCTGGGTCCTCCTCTGACTACCCAGCCGGCCTCTGCTCTTCCCCAGCCTCCGCCGCAACCTCTGGAGCCACACTTCCACTCCCTGTTGGCTGTTCCTCCTCTCCCTCAGAGTCAGTCTCCACCAGGGGTATGACATATATACTTAATCAATAAAATATATACTGATTTTAAGTACTATTGACGTACATAGTGTTTCTATATGGTCTTGTAAACAATACAGGTAGTCCTCAACTTACAGCAGTTCATTTAGTGGCCATTCGAAGTTACAACAACACTGAAAAATGTGACCTATGACCATTTTTCACACTTCTGACCATTGTAGCATCCCCATGGTCACATGATTTACATTCGGATGCTTGACAACTGACTCACATTTATGACAGTCATGCAATCCCCTTTTGTGACCTTCTGACAAGCAAAGTCAAGGGGGAAACCAGATTCACTTAACAATTGTGCTACTAACTTAACAACTGCAGTGAGTCACTTAACAAATGGGGCAAGAAAAGTTATAAAATGGGGCAAAATTCACAAATTTCTCACTTAACAACATACATTTTAAACTCAATTACAGTCATAAGTTGGGGACTACCTGCAGAGGGGAGCTGAAATGATTGGTGAAGGGGAAAGTAGAAATCTTAGAAAAGCTAGGTATTTGTGATTACCATTTTACTATTTTTGATTGATTATATGCCATCAAGTAGATGTCAGCTCTGTTAGAGATCATATAAGCAAACCTTTTCCAAGATGATCTGCCCCAAACTAGTTATTCAGGTCTTCCACCGCTACTGAATCTGTCCACTTTCCTGTAAACCATCATCTTCTTTTCTTTTCATCATTATAGACTTCTCGATACAGCTGTCTTCTCATATTATGTTCCAAATTTATTCATCATAAATTAATTAAAATTGTAATAGTAAAACTATAAAAATCCAATGTGAATAGTAAATGAATCACATTATTTTGATTTTGATTATATTTTATATTCCCAACATATGGAAAACTATTTTACTTTTTTTTAAATAAAAAAACCATAAGGGCTATGCTGGACAAAATCAAAGTTTCATAAAGTCTGCAATCCTTCATTTAAACTGATGCCAATTAGATACAAAACTATTTTTCATTAGTTTGTTTAATATTTAACATTTAAAAGGCTTGTGTTCTTTTGTAGAATTGTGAATTCTTTATTGCAGTAAAACAGTAATGTATAGGGCCAGTACATAATAAAATTCAATCATGTGAAACAAGCTTCATATATAGAAATAATAAAATCATCTGTATGTCTCAGTCAACGCATTTTACCTGTAACATACTAGAATGTATCTATGCTTAGCATGCTGGAGTCATATATACATAAAATGGGCCAGAATGAATTTTAAATTTGCTTAAATATGGATTTATCACAACTCGGCATGTGCCACCATAAAATGGGAAAGCCAGGAAATGTGGAAAATGTGGATAAGCAATATGTGCAGTTTTTTTGTTTTTTCTTTTAATAATAATAACTTAATTAACTTAAATTTTCCCAACCCATAATTCTCCAAACTCCCATCAGACCTATAATTAAGAAATGGAGACAACATAAAAATGAATAAATAAATAAAAACTTCTCATACCTTCACAGTAAAACTGAGCAAATATATTAAATACTTATAGAAACCTAACCCTAACCAGACACATAGCATAAGCTATACAAATGTTGTTGTTCATATATTTAATATTGTAATAAGTGAGATATTTTCAAGTACAAAAGTTGGTTTCTTAAAAGCTTAAATTCTTAGAAGACCCAGATCTTTTTATAAGGGATAGGCATGTCCTTAAAGTCTTAGTTCCTACATCCCTCATGATTTTAACGATAGTTTATCATAGTGTTAAGGATGCATGTAATATATCCTTACATGTGGTGGACCAGAGGTTAGAATGCAGGTTCTTGTGAAGAAAAGAGGAGGAAGCGGTATTAGATATTTGAGTTCTTTATAAAAATGTGATAAAAAGAAGGATCTCTCTCTCTCTCTCTCTCTCTCTCTCTCTCTCTCTCTCTCTCTCTCTCTCAAGTGCTCTACTGTGCTTCATTTTTATTTATGTCATGATTATTTTGCAGTCTAGTACTGCCCTCATGTGTTAAGTCAACATAAAACATCTATCTACCAACATAAATTATGAGAGTTGTACTCCAACACATCTGGAGGATGGGTAAAATGCTATACTATAGGACCGTGTCAATATTTATATGCTCTTTGATGAACAAAGTATCTAAGGTGATGTTTCTCAACCTTGGAAACTCCCAGAATTCCCCAGAGTGAAAATCCAACATCTTCAAGGCATTAAGAGTTGAGAAACACTGACCTAGAGTTGGTCTAGAAAATAAAATTAAGCAATGTAGATGAAGTTAGAAAGAGAGAGGGTGAGAGAGATTCCCTGTATGTTTTTGTAAAGTTACTGTTTAGGGGAAAGAAACAGCATTTGTTTTTTTTTAAATGATTACTTTCAGTTCTAGTGAAAACTGTCAATGCCAGGACATGCTAGAACTAGAATCTTTGCATCTCTTAACTGCCAAATTAACAGAAGTTAATGCTCAAATGTCGCTTGGAATGTTCAGAATTATACATGTCCAAAATATGCAACTAAATACAGGCAGATGATAAAGGAGATACAGAATGAATGGCAGACTTTCAGTCTTGTTTGAAAAAAAAATCCTATAATTTTCAAAATGCCTTGCCTAAAAAATTTTGTGGCTCAAGCACACAGGATGACATAGTATTTCCATTTCAACTGGCAGTGTATTTTATTTCAGCAATCTCGTACATCAAGCTTAAAAACCAGACAGGTCATATGAATGGCAGCTTGGTTTGGTTTAATCACTCAATATTTGTTGCCTGAGATTAGTGTCTTACTTTGTCTAAATACACATCTGGCTCTGGTTCAAGCAATAAATTTACCATCTATTCTAGGGGAATGAAAAAGGTTTAGCCCTTTATTCTACTTTACATGGAAGCCTAATTACTTTAGCTTGCATTTACTGGAATTATTGAGGTATTTGATCATTGTTTAAGCCCATATTTTAATGGCTTGGACCTTATGTTCCTCATGAAAAGCCTTATTTAAGATTTATCTTCCTGCTTCTCGCAGAAGTCTCTGTGATTCCTAAACCTAAGAGTTGAAGAACATTTTCAATGAGATGCAAGGATCTACAAAGAAGATGTCAGCAAAAACAAGGGAGAAACATATTATGCTAAGTTAGAGTTCCAAAAATTATTTTGGATTAAATTATATTTGGCTAGAACATGTACATTAACATGCCTATTATTGCAGGTATATAGGACAGATGTTATAGAGTCTCAGGCAAATAAATAGGTTTTTCTTTCACAAGGTTTCAGACAAACAATACGACTAGTATTAGTCCTATTTCAGTTTGCTGGCCATTGGAATGCCCAGTTTCAGCCACGCCCATTGCTTTATGATTGGTTCCCTGTTGTCTAGGGTGATGAAGATGCTTTGTTCAATCTACACAGCAGTCCCAAGAGGAAAGAAGTCACCAACGTCAGTGCTGTGACAACAAAAAACCCACTGAGTCTGGGTTGAAGCAATACCTCAGTTCAGCATTTCATTGTGTTACAAGCACGATACAAGGCTAGGAGGAGAGTCATAAATGAGAAGGAAAACAAAAAAGTAAATCAGGAAGTGAGACAGTTGGACAACTAATAGTGGGAGCCCATCTCATTAAAAGCAGAAGAAGCAAACTGCATTATACATAACAAACAACACAACAATAACAGCACAAGAATACCTTGGTAAGGAGATCTCTGGCAAGAGAGCAAATATAAATGGTGGAGAAGATCCTATTTGAAACAAAGTTCCCACTATTCTCCACCTAAGATGTGGAGACAAGGACGACTGTGTTATCTGCAATTGTCTTTGCAACATGGATATCATAATCAATGGCCTGTAATGGCAGGGAGAGCAGCAAATGCAGCAAAATACAATCCTCGAGTGTCTCACTGCAAGCATTATAATACTAAAATTCAGCGGTACAAAGGTAATCTATCCTCACAATGGAAGAATTGTAGATTTTCTAGAAATGGTAGATTGAGGAAGAAGAAAAGAAGCTATTGGAGGGGGAGGAGATCACAGAAGAAGAATCAAATAAAGTATTGCCACATTGCAGCTCACCAGCGAAAGCCCAGATTCTGTAAGATCTGTCAAAAACAGCATCATAAAATTAATCGAAAGCGTTTCATCAGAAAACAGCGTTTGATGGCATATATGCGTAGTGCAATAAAGGGACGACTCCGTCCAATGAACCTATGTGAGTGGAGAGCTCCTGGGATGCGAGCCCCTCGAAATACAACACAATTTATCATGCATCAGGTATATCAAGATATGCATCGGGAGGAAAAAGAAGCAGCTGCAGCAGCGGCTGCAGCAGCAGCTGCCAGTAAAACAGAAAAAGAGAAATCAGATTTACATCTCTCCCTCGGAAATAATGATTACAACATGGGCTCAACAAGTGCCAATTGCATGGCTACCATATTGGCTATAAGCCCAGAAGGGAACATTCTCTCAGGATATGAGGAGGTTGGAGAAAATGAAAACAGTCAGAACAGTTATGCTTGTGAGAATAGTGCTCTGGAATCTCACCTTAGCATTTCATGGGAGCCATAAAGCATACAATATTGAACAAAAATGCATTTGATGTTGGATTCATCAGTAGTTTAGAGTTGCTGTTGATGTGCAGTGTTTTAAATAAATTTATACTGTACTATCTCTATGCCACTTCAAGGCTAACTGTGTCTGTCATATATTTATACATAAACATAAGGTAGTCAAGTAAAATTTTAGTTTACAAATTGATTCAATTGATAAAATTGATAAGGATGCCAACTCTTATCTTATAATTTGATTGTCATTCATGTTTTGATATGCAAATTCCAGTCTGTTCAGTAGAAGCTACACATGTTGTGTTGTAACCATCTTTAATAGGTTCATGTGATTTACTGCATTTCAGGTGAAGTATACAATTTTGTTATGGAGCCAGAATCTTCTATTGAAAACCCAGCAGTGATAGAGTGCTTCAAACTTTATGCTCACTAGGAAGTGCCCTGGTAGTTCTCAAAATTAATCCAAGAAGCAACATGGTGTCTTAAAATCATAATTAGGATTCTATCAGACTTAAATCAGATAATAGTTATTGAGAGAGAAATTTTACATTTATGAAGCTGTCCCCCTTCTGCAAAGAGCTTTTGCACAGACCTATGTATCATCATTCTCTTTTAATGACCCCATAATCTCTTGCAGGTTGGAGACTGGACAACTGAATGGAGCGGAAAGTTTACTGGCTGGATGCCCTTCCTTTCGCCAATGCGGAGTTTTATTCAGCAGATATATTCTCAGTGTGCCCAGAGAGAGAAATATCTGCCTCTGCCTAAGATTGAACTCACAGTTTCCTGATTGTGAGGCGAGAGCTCTCCCACTAGGCTACCACACCACTCATACAGACCTATGGATAGCATCGTTTTATTAGTAATTATACTTTTGCTATGAGTGGAAAGAATAATCTTTGTATCAGAACTATTGTATATAAATAAAAAGCCCACCTTTTGAAAAGGAGTATAAAATCATGAAAAAAGTGATTAAAAAGTACAGAGAAGAGCAAGATTAGTGCAGGGATATCCACAACCATACAATAAAAGTCAAACAAGGATATAAGGCAGATCTGGAATTAGCAACATATGAACAACCTCTGATATTTAGATTTAGGCAAAATGAATAAAAAATTTCCCTGATATTTCTGCTGTAGCAGGCATTCAGGAAGGTTTTTATTCAGGTTTATTTAATGAAAATGCTTTTGAAGTCAGATACCTTTTAGACTACAACATATGTTGGATTCTACCGCTCTGTAGTTCACAGTGTCTGCATAAGGGATTAAGCCCTTGCTTCAGTTATTAAAAAAACAAGGCCCATGGGCATACTGGACAGTCAGAGAATGAAAGATACAGTCTAAGAAATAAATGTACATCCTTTAAAAAACAGTTAATAAATGTTCATCATGAAGAAAAAAACAGAGCTGTTCAGGTGTGATTTAAAGTGCTGGTTATCACTTATAAGACCCTACATGGCATGGGACCTATTTATTTGAGGAACCGTCTTCTATGGCTTCTGTCTGTCCAGAGCAGACAAAATGGGCATGCTCATGATCCCTTTGAT